ATAAGGAGCGTCCTCTGTATCGAGATTTACAGGTTGCAATGAAAGCTGTCGACAAGTGGGCGAAAAGTGTAGGCTTCAGAATTTCCGCGACTCTAGGTTGAGGATCTTGAAGATGATCGGGGCTAAACTTCCGCGAGGGCAACGTATCGGATCGGCAATCGTCACGTCGCACGGAATCGGGCTTGTCAGAAGAGCGAAGAGTCTTGCACCCATCTACAATCGGATAGTCCGATTCGGCTCAGGGGCGTACGTCACCATTCCGATTCCAGCGATCATGGCTGAAGCAGACACATTGCTGTTCGTTCGATCTAATGGTTCTGCAAGCTATAATTCGTGTTGCAATTTGTTTGATGGAGAAGGATTCCAGGAATATCGATCTTCCAGTTGTGGAACGACCGTTCGATCGCCTGGCGGCGGTTGATGTGGAGCTTCCAAACATCGCTGTACGGACACGTCTCGCCAACCGAGAGTGGTATGAACGCAAGCTGCATATTGTTTGGGATGTGAAACGGCAAGTGAAAGCTGGGGATCCCCCCAATACAGTGCGTCCCATCGTGCAGGAGTAGCTGGCAAACCAGTTTGACCATGCTTTGGCCATTTATACGGATGGCTCTAAGTGCGAGAATATAGTTGGAGCAGGTGTATTAAGCAACAGCATTCAGCAAGCAATAGGTCTTCCGTCACAGTGTAGCGTGTTTTCGACGGAGGTCTTTGCAATCAAGTCGGCCGTCACCGCAGCGAGAGCATCAAACGAACGTGTTATCATTCTGTCTGATTCGGCCAGCTGTGCTGTGCTTCAACCATAGAAAGTGGAAGATCGCAGCATCCGTGGATCCAGAAAATCAAGCGCTTATTACGTAGATCGCCGATCCACCTTTGTTGGATACCTGGTCATGCCGGAGACCGACTGGGCAGTGAAATCACCGGTGAAAAGGTCGCCGTACCAAGGAATGATGCCATCAAGAAAACGAACCAAGTCTTTCGTCAGCAATAGGAAGCACGTTGGGCACAACTGACAGATGTCAAGCTGAAGGAGGTCAAAAGGGAAACGAAGAAGTGGATCGATCAGTACAGTTCTGCCGATCAACGCGTACTCACTCGTCTGCGCATCGGTCAACACCTCCGCCAGCTGTGGGACCGTTGTTGACGTTCGTCACATTATTCTGCGATGCAGGAAATTTGAAGCGTCCAGGACGAAATACGGAATCGATTCCACAAGCCTGGAGGATACGGAGAAGCGGTTGCTGAAGTTCCTGCTTGGAGCCAACGTGTATCGGAAACATTGAAGGGCGAGGATAGAAAGGAAAGGAAAGTGCATGATGTAGGAAGAAAATGGAGCGAAGGAAGGCTACTGAAATTATGGATGAAGACACGGATGCAGATAAAGAAAAAGCCAGTGATGCAGAAGAAGAAACGAAGTCTGTAATGAATGGAAGAAGACGCCGGGGAGGAAATCGAAGAAGATGCAGCGGAAGAAAGTTGGCGATGAATGTTGGAAGCAAGCGAGTTAATAAAGAAGATGCTGTATGGAAATACAGAAGATGAACTAGAGGAAATCGTAAAAGATTAAGTGAAAAAAGAAGAGGAAAGTGCGACAGCAGACGTGAATGAGTATGAAGATGCAGAAGGATGTAGATAAAGATGAAGCGGAGAATCAAAGGATGAAGCAAAAGATCAAGAGAAGCAGAAATCCGAGATGGCGATGAACGCTGCTGTTATGAGCAGAAGAAGACGGAAAATAATGAATGCACAAGAAGCAGGAAGAGGTTGCGATCGGATTCCTAACAACAGCCGTAAATTTACTGGTGGAGGTGTCCTTGTAGCTGTCCGTGCCGGGTTGGAGGCAAAGGCCATCGAGATCGATTCATGGAACTATGTGGAGCAGGTTTGGACAGCCATCAATCTGGGTGATCGCATACTATTTCTATGCGCTCTGTACATTCCACCTGATCGAGTCCGGAACAATGAACTCATCGATACTCACTGTCGGTCAGTTTTCACAGTTATCGAAAGTGCCACTCCAGTTGATCAGATAGTCATTTTTGGTGACTTCAATCTGCCAGGCGTTTCGTGAAGTCCATCTCATAGCGGATTCCTGTACCCAGATCCTGATAGCTCTACATTTCACGCAGGAGCTATTAGCCTTCTCGACAACTACAGCGCAGCGATGCTTTCTCAAATTAACCATGTAGTTAACGAAAATGATCGTAGTTTGGACCTCTGCTTCGTGAGTACACAGGACAGGGCTCCATTAATTTCCTCGGATCTTTGTGCACTAACTAAGCTAGTTCCACATGACCCTCCTCTAATTGTCACTGTTGACGACAAACTCGTGCGTGATTTCGACTATTATACTGCTACGGTGTCTTATGACTTTCGTAAAGCTGACCACCGTAGCATCATAGATGCATTGTCTAGCATGGTATGGGAAAACATCCTTGATCCACATGACGTTGAGGCTGCAGCGCAAACCTTTTCACATGTCTTGGCATATGTCATTGACAGACACGTCCCGAAAAGAACTCACCACAAAGTGTCTCACCCTCCCTGGCAGACGAGGGAGCTACGTAGGTTGAAGTCAATCAAGAGAGCAGCATTGAGAAGATTTACGAAGTATCGCACGCTTCCTCTGAACTCTGAACTTAAGCTACACCCGAAATCCTTTTGGAACTACGTGAACGAACAACGCAGGGAATCCGGCCTCCCATCGTCTATGGAATTCAACGGAGAAGTTGCTGTCACCGTTCAGGATATATGCCACCTTATTTCCGAAAAGTTTGCCAGTGTATGCACTAATGAGATACTTACTGACGACCATATTAACCTAACTGCCAGGAACGTTCCAGTAAACGATCAAACGCTGGGTGCAATTGATGTTAATGCTGATATGATTTCTAAGACCGCGACTCTGCTCAAGTCATCCTTCAATCCTGGACCTGATGGAGTTCCATCTGTATTTTTGAAGAGACATATTGCTAGCTTGTTAATTCCGCTTCTTCGCCTGTTCCGAATGTCTCTCTCCAGTGGCATATTTCCATCTTGTTGGAAATTTGCGCACATGTTTCCCGTCCACAAAAAAGAAAGGAAACGAGCTGTGGATAACTATCGAGGAATTACATCGTTAAGTGCCGTTTCGAAGCTATTCGAGCTAGTGATTATGGAACCGTTGCTGTCCCATTGCAAGCAGTATTTGAGTGCTGGTCAACATGGGTTTACTGTCGGCCGCTCTACAACCATCAATCTGCTGTGTCTCACATCGTAAATAACCGAAAGCATGTCGGATCGGGTTCAAACGGACGTTATTTATTCAGACCTATTCAGATTCAGATTCAGATAGCATTCGACAAGATGAACCATGCTATTGCGATTGCTAAACTCGGCAGGCTCGGTGTATGCGGTAATCTTCTGAGTTGGTTTCGATCATATCTTACCGGTCGGCAACTAAAGGTTGCCATAGGAGATTGCAGATCAGCTAGCTTCTTCGCCACATCAGGTATACCTCAGGGAAGCCACATGGGACCGTTAATTTTTGGACTGTACTTCAACGACGTGCATCTGGTCATCGAAGCTCCTCGGTTATCATATGCAGATGACCTCAATCTTCCTACGAATCTGCTCCATTGCTGACTAGTCACTTTCTTCAACGTCAGCTGAATGTATTCGCTAGTTGGTGCAGGTTAAACAGAATGGTATTGAACCCAGCCAAATGCTCCGCTATTACGTTCTCACGAAAACAACAACCGATAATATTTAGCTATACCCTGCTTGGCTCGACAATCGAACGCGTGAATCAGGTGAAAGACTAAGGTGCGATCTTGGATTCACAGCTTTCATTCAAGCAACACATTGCATATGTTGTTGATAAGGCGTCAAGAACTTTAGGGTTCATTTTTAGGATAGCTAAAAACTTCACTGATAGTAGATAAAATCTCTCTATTGTTCGCTTGTTCGATCGCCGCTTGTGTATTGCTCAGCGGTTTGGAACCCAAACTACAACAACGGTGCCGAGATAATTGAATCTGCGCTCTCTTCGTTTCGCGCTACGTAGATTGTCTTGGAATGATCCGTTTCGATTACCCAGTTACGAAAGCCGTTGTCAACTTATAGACCTAGAACTTGTCCGTGACCGTGGCCGATATCCCGCAAGGAAGGATAGATTGCGAGGCTATCCTGAGGCAAATTGACCTGAATGTTCAACCCCGACCGCTTCGTAACAACCTTATGTTAAGACTGCCTAAATTATGGAGCATACGGTGCGATTTGCGGACTGCAGAGGACATTCAACAGAGTTGCATCTGTTTTCGACTTTCATCTCTCCCGTGATGCACTTCGTCGAAAGTTTTCCTCTGTTTTTCGCCGGCAGGAGTAACTGACTATAAGATACATGTTTTTTAATGTTTTTTTTTTATGTTATGACCATGCTACGGCTACACGATCGAATGTATTGGATAAATTATGTTATAGCCTATAACTTATAGGTAATTTTCATCTGAATTTCGCATAATATTAATGAATTATGTATGATTTTTCATATAGATTTTAACGACCTCGTGATTTTTATATGATTTTGTAATAAGCTATATGAAATTCACATGGATTTACAATCGACTTTCTTGTATGAAAGATAATCTAGGTTCTCCAATTTGTGGTCGAGTTTAATTCATTTAACGCTTTGGGCTCATGTGATATCTACACGGCGAATGAGATCGACCTAAATTTGAGTTCAGTTTAATCAAATTGGTACTGCTCCTAGACTGAATAAAATTTTCGTTAATTTTCCGAATTTTCCGGCAGATTTTTGAGGTTTTCCACAGGAAAAAAATGAGGCAAATTTACTCATCGCTGAGTTTCAGCACTTGTTGGGCTTATGGGTATACTGAACTCAAATTTGTGTTGATCTCATTGGCCGTGTACAACAAAGACACACTACGAAGGTGTGGCAATGCAATATGTAAACAAGCAGTGGTACATCAGTACATCACTGATCGAAACACACTTACCCGACTTGAGCGATTGCGGCACCGAACAGATCCGGTCTCTGGTTGATGCAGGCACCGACCAGCAAACCCCCGTTGGATCCTCCCTGAATTACGATCTGATCGTGGGAAGTATAACCATTCTCAACCAGAAATTTGGCCCCATATTGAAAGTCGTCGAAAACGTTCTGCTTCTTCAGCAACCGTCCGGCGTTGTGCCACCGTTCACCGTATTCCCTAAAGAATCAACGAGAATAAATGCCGAGCCAAAATTGGTTCATCCTACTCGACTTACCCGCCACCGCGGATGTTCGGGTATGCCAAAATGCCATCGAATGAATCGATGAACACCAGGCCCGTAATACTGAAAGATGGCTGAATGCAAATGTTGAACCCTCCGTAGCCGTAAAGCAGACATGGTTTCTTCTCTTGCTGGAATATTCGAATTATCACTAAATCTCATAATCATGAATTTCATTTGGCTTACCTTATCGGACTTCCTCTGCACAATAAACATCGGAATACGTTCGCCGTCTTTGCTCTTGTAGAACACCTGCTCCACCTTGTACAGACTGTTATCGAAGTCTTCGATTTTGACCTGCCGGAAGATCTTCGGTTCCGCTCGTTCTTTGGCAAAATCAAAGTGATAGATGATGCCCGGTGTCAAAAACGACACAAAGTGATAGAAAATTTCTGAATACTTCTTCTTGCCGCTGAACCCGACGACGGTTCCGATTTCCAGTGGGAACTTGGACACGAAAGCACCATCCTTCAGGCTGTGCACCTGAAGGACCGACTTGACATCGTCGATGTACCCGAGCACGATCTTGTCCTTGTTGACACAGTTGGACCAATCCACGACATTTTTCGGGTGCTCTTCGATGAGGGGTTTCCAATTCTCGAACGCCGGCCTGTCGAAGTCGATGTTCACGATCCGGTAGTTCGGGGCACCCTTGTTGGTGCGGAACGAGAAGATGCTGCCCTCGTTGGTAATGTACTGCATTTCGGGTGTGGAAATAAAAGATAATGTTAGTTTTTTAGGGAATGTTGTAGCGGTATTCTGATGAAGTTCAAAATGCTACAAACGTTCACTGTTACACTGTTACATCTTAGAGCAACGAATGAAGGTTGTTTCTACAACTCTAAATAAAATGTCTTGATAATTTTCTAATAATGTTGATGATGGTTTGCAACTCTGGGATCATACAAAATGTTCAAATCCTACGTCTGAACGGCCATTTCAGAATCTTGAAAATGTCTCTACGCTTGGATTTATTATTATTCTTCAAGGTTTTTGATTTCGAAAATTTGTCATACTTTTCGTGGTTGAACATGTCATAAATTTAAATCTCAGAATTTAAATTTTTGTATAAATCCTACACTTTTGAAGATTTATTTTAGTTCAAAATCTGTTCGTGATCTAAATTAAGTTAAGTTCAAAATTTCTGAAATAATTCCAAAATACGATTTTTCTTTGCCCAAAATTTAACAGAATAGCCTAAATACCGTTCATAAGCATAAAAAATAGCTGATTCTGTAAGTCTGCACAGTTTTAAATTAAATACTTCGATAAGTTTTCGAGTTCTCTGGCATCAACAATTTATTAAATTCTAGGATTTGGATAATCTACTGCGATCTAACAGTCAAGATACAGAAACTTGTGAAATTTGTTTAGAGGAAAAATTAGGGGAGCAGGTATTCGTCTCTTCCTGTATAATGTCATCAGTAATAACAAAATATAAATTGAAGCACTCTCACCAAATTGAATCATGACGGTGAAAATAGCGCACTGGTCGCGGTAGAAAGCGAATCAAGTTAATCGATTTTTTGATCGTCAAATGAACATAGGACATATTCAAAAATGATTACAGAGTACCTGCTTGGTAGGCGAATGTATCTCGCCTCTCAGAATAGGCCTGAAAGCTTTCGGCAGTACGATAGTCTATATCGTCGTACGCACAATCTCTTCAATACATTCAACGTTCTAATGTAACTTACGTCATAATCACTGTCGAATTCGGTGACCACCTTCACAAAGTCCAGCTTCCCAGTGATGTTGTCGGACGATTCTAACTTGCTAAAGTACAACAGCATGTCCTTGCAGCCCTTCATGATGAAGAGCATTAGATATTTGCCGCAGTCCGACACCTCGGGCATCCTTATTCGAACAACAAAACACATTAGTTCAATGAGAAAGAGTTTCCCACCCGTCACAAAATCACACTCACAATCTCCACGAGGGCTCCTCCGGAAACTCGGCAATCAACACGTCCTTGTCCTGCGATTCCCCGACCCGATGAAAGTAGAGCTTCTGGTTCTCGTTGGCTGCCGTTTCCGAACCATCGGCCTTACCATCCACGACCGGGTAGCGGGCATAGAAGAAGCCCTTGTTATCCTTAGCCCAGGAAGCCGTTACAAATTTGGTATGTTCCAACGTTTCTGGGGAATCTTCCCCCGTATTCACGTCCCGAACCTTCAGCTTAGTCCAGTCTGATCCGCTCTGACTCAAACCATACGCGAATAGATTTCCATCGTCCGAGAAACGAGAACCGACCAGCGCAATGGTCCCATCCTTGGACAGCGAGTTCGGATCCAGGAATACCTTCGGTTCATCCTCCAAAGAATTTTGAACGTACAAAACACTAGAAAAAAAAAACACAAATCAATATCCATACTTCAATCGAACGGAGCAATTAATCCTACTCCTGGTTCTGCAGTCCGGTGTTCATGAAGAAAAAGTACCGACTTCCGTGCTTGAATGGACACGAATACTTCGGATAGTTCCAGCGCTTGGTCAGCTTCTCGTTCAGCTTTTTCCACTCCTCGCAGCTGTCCAGAAAGGGTTTGGAAATTTCATTCTGCTTCTCCACGTAGGCTTGCGTTTCTTCCGCATCCGGGTCCTCCAGCCAGCGGTACGGATCGGGAATCTTGACGCCGTGAATCTCCTCCACCACGGAATCGTCCCGCCGGGCTTCCGGGTACTTGAAGCTTGCCAAACATTCCTGCGCTTCCGGCATCGCTATTCGACTAAATTTACTTGCACTTGCCGCGAATGTCTTCAGTAGTCGTTGCCCTAAAAGTAGGTCAAAAAACTGTGTTCTGAATATAGGTTGTACAGCATTGAACGGAAACACAGTTTGTGCTATTTTATTTTATTTTTTGGTTATGCGAAAGTGAAACTTTTGACGGGGCTGCCCTAAATCGGATGAGTTGCATTTCCCAATTCAATCACGGTGGACCAGCTCCGATCAAAGCCCAGCGCAATGTTTGCAACAGTGCATCATCGAACACAAACAACCCGCGCCAGAAGCAGAGAAAAGCAGAAAATTGATTGCATTAATTAAGCCCATTGATCGATCGTACTCACTTTGCTGCTGTTGAACGGGATCTTGCCGCTGGAGAACAATACGAAGGCTTCCGGGCTTGTGCAACTGACGCAGTAAACTTTTCATGCAAACTCGCACTCTCCCTTTTGAATCCTATCCCTAAAGCCGCGGGCTTAAATACGGGATTCTATTGACTAGAGGTTGTGATTATCTTGAAAGTCAGATTTTACGGCTTCGACTATTTGCGAAAATGACTTTCAAGTTTCCGCTGTCTGTCTGTGGTGTGATAACGAGCGCACTCTTCTGTCTCTTGCCGCATCCAAACGAAGGAAAACTGTGAGAAATGAAAACCGACGAACAAAACGAAACGATCAAAGGGAAAAACGCGAGGAAAAGCAATGCGAAAGGAGCAGAGGCGAGCGGCGTCGCGCGTCGCAAAATTTGACAGAATCAGTAGTTTGACGTTTGCAGATGCCGGTCGTTCAAAATCGACAGCCCCTTCGGAAACACTCTTTGATCGATTTTTTATTTTAATTTTCAGAATGGTATTCAGTGCTGTCCAAATACCTTACTTCGTGAAACGTTAAACCCAAACCCGAGGCCCAAAATAATTGTTTTCTCCATACACGGAGAAAAAATACTACCCAAAATGTGAGTTCTTTTTACTTAATATTGACTTCAGCCTCTCACTTGCACTCGTTATTGTTGTCAAAAAAGGAACAAGAGATTCGACCCAACGATATAGTTCAGCCCAATAAGTTACTTTTGAGTAAAATACATATTCTCAAATTTACGTAAATTAAACTTAATTTTGGGTAGAATATACTTAAGAGTAGTTAATTTTTTTGCTGCACAGCAAAAAAAGTTGTTGAATATTACATCGAAACTGCTGCAACCAGGTCAATCCATCGGTTGTGTAATATCACATTGTACGATGTACATCGATTTTGCGAACAAAATTACATCCATTGATGTTATATTGTATCTGATTTTTGCTATTACATCATTATTTCATATATCAGCTTGAATTACGTTGATCGATATTACATTTTTTTTTTTTGCTGTGTGGTGTTAAATGGAAACTACTATATGCGATTTACTCAAATTTGGGTTATTGGGCTGAACCCCGGAATTGATGGAAAAGTACTTAATTTTGGGTAGTTTTTCATCTCCGTGTACATTTCCGGAATGAGAACTATATTAGAACCTTTTTACTAATGGTTTAAGAACTTTAATCGTAATGGTTATGGTAGTCAGTAAGGTCCATAATTTTGTATTATCGGTCAACTTTATCCAGCTTTCCATGCTCGGTAATGGCGGCCTGTTTGTATGAAGAAATGTATGCTTCACTGTGCTATCTGCACTGAAACAAAATCCATTGGCAAAAATACTATATTGATGGTTTAGATTAAATCGAGGGGGACGACTCTATCTACGATGCAGCAAAGATTGTGTTTTGCTGTGGCTAGCTGCATGCACGCTGAGTAGATAGAAGGAAGATTTATGTCGATTTTGAAGATTTCCTGCAAAAAGATGAAGCACGATGCAAGTAGATGCGAGAAATTAAAGATGATTTTTCGAAGATTGATTCGCTAGTGTGAGATTTTTTGAGCATCTAGAATTGAGATTTAGATGTGTCGCCCCCCTCGGATTAAATACCCTCACCAATAGATTTTTACAGAAAATAATTCCATTTAATTTTACTATTATTTCTATCAAAATTACTATGCATTTTGAGCAAGCATAGTAGTTTTGCCAGAATCATAGTAAATTTTTTAACATTCATAGTCAACTATACTGAATTCATAGTATATTTAACAGTAATAAGCGTGGTTATATTGATAATAAGTGTTTTCTGCAAAATAGTATTCCTAACTATGGTCCTTGTTTCAGTGTGGAGGTTCGGATTTTCACCCCTCCCTTTCCCTTTCCGAGGAACAGAAGAATATGAAACAACACGGAACCAAATTTTGTTCATTTATATCAAAAATATATAAGTTCATTATATATAAATATATAAATAGTTCAAAGTAAATTGAAATCACGTTTTCAACAAAAATATGTATGTATGAATTAAATTCAAAAGCATGTTTATTTCAACAATACATAATCTGGGCAAACAATTTTCAGTGTGTCCTATTTTCCTTGTTGTTTAAATTCAGCAAACTCAACCGAAAACGGGCTGCAAGCAGCGAAACCGAAATAGATGGTCCAGAAACCCGCAAGTAAGTGTTCCAAGCTCAACAAAACCGGTGGAACCCCACAATATCAACGTCACTCCGTCGTTTCTGATGCCGATCCCCATATAATCCTCACCCCAACCCGAAGTCGAAAGAAAAACAGGTAATACCACAGACAGACATACAAATTAGTACCGTTGTACTCCTTTAATCAAGTACCTCAAAACGTACAATTTGTGGTACTAGCTTAAAGCAGTACAACGGTAGTACAACAGTGAACTTTGTATGTCTGTACAAGGTATAAGCCCCCAACACCAAACGTAGAAAGAGGCCGGTATGCACGAAACGAAAATCAATTATTTTATTCATGTGTTTCACTTATACATTTTTGCCAAAACATCAGCCTTATACCACAAACGAAGTGACAGACGGAGCGGCTCGAAAACTTTGGTGACGCACCTGCTATTGCAATTTTTCAGTGTACCACATGGCAACACCACTACTACTGGATTGTACCACATGGCAACACTACTACCATAGAGGTAACTCTAAGACCACTGGGTCCCGAAGAAAATCATTATTATTTTTGGCTCACTCAGTACCAGAACAACGGTCCCAAGCAGTCCCAAGCTATTTCACTCACCCCTGCATGTTCTGCATGAATCCACACACCCCTGATGTTATCTGTCAAACTTTCATAGCGAATCAAAACAAACATAGTGTAGTAATAGAATTTCAACTAGAATAGGGTACGTTAATCGTTTGCTTGGGACCAATAGGCTACTAAAGTGGTGAGCCAATTTAAAATCGTTAGTTTCGTATTGATTGTTGCTACTACTAGATTGAACTAGCATTTTCACCAAATGTACTAGAATGTTTTGGTTCTATCTCTTTCACTCTACTCAAAACTGAAATGCATAAAAAAATGACAAAATGATACGCACTCTTTGCACACTGTCAAAGAATCATTGTACCCAAAATCAACTTTGTTCAAATCAAAACAAAAAAACTAATCCATCTGGTGGATGATGCCATAAGCTTCCAAGAAAATTCTATTACAGTGAACCACATTATTTAAATGGATTTCTTCGCCAGTTAGTCGTCTGTCACTTCGTTTGTGCTTTTGCTTATACATTCCATAAGACAAACCACATACACAGCAAAAAAAGTTGTTGAATATTACATCGAAACTGCTGCAACCAGGTCAATCCATCGGCTGTGTAATATCACATTGTACGATGTACATCGATTTTGCGAACAAAATTACATCCATTGATGTAATATTGTATCTGCTTTTTGCTATTACATCATTATTTCATACATCAGCTTGAATTACGTTGATCGATATTACATTTTTTTTTTGCTGTGTAGGTCCTATAAGAATGCATAAAAGATACACGGAAAGACGAAACAACTCAAAATCGAGATAGAAAGTATTTAAAAATAAGTACTCCGCCAACACTACTGTTTTGGGTGAAATTTTGTTCTCATTGATGAGTACTTTTAACTTAAACTTGAAGTATAACCAGAACACTTACTTTTCGTTAATTTTACTCAAACAGTAGTCTTGAGAGAGTTCTTATCACAAACGAAGTGACAGACGGAGCGGCTCGAAAACTTTGGTGACTAACCTGCTATTGCAATTTTTCAGTGTACCACATGGCAACACCACTACTACTGGACTGTACCACATGGCAACACTACTACTGGATTGAACTACCATTTTCACCATTTGAACTAAAATGTTTTGGTTCTATCTCTTTCACTCTACTCTAAACTGAAATGCATAAAACAAATTACAAAATGATACACTCTTTGCACACTGTCAAAGATCATACTGCACACAAATCAACTATGTTCAAATCAAAACAAAAAAACTAGCCCATCTGGTGGCTGATGGCACAAGCTTCTAAGAAAATTCTATTACAGCGAACCACATTATTTTAATTGATTTCTTCGCCAGTTAGTCGTCTGTCACTTCGTTTGTGGTTCTTATTATTGAGGACTTCTTATCTCGATTTTTTGTTTTTTTTTCGTTTTCCGCGCTATGAAAGTATCCAAAATCAAGTGTTGCGTTTGCACTTCATTTTGGATGAAAAATCGTAACGTGCGCCATGTTTATTTCTGCTTGTTCGTCGCTTGCTCCGCCAGTTGATGATTTCATTTTTAGTGAAGTGCACCATAACTCAGTATTTGATGGCTGCGGATCAGTGAAGGTAAGGACGTTTTAGTTTTTCGACTCTGCTTCGTAGGTTGATTGCTGTTTATCTCTTTTTGTCTACCTAGATAATTGCAGTGTGATACATTTATGCAAACCAGTCGGAGTCTTGGGAGCCGAGAGTGGATCCAAGGAGTTTGCTTGGAACTTACCTCCCGTGATGGTCCCCCGGTTAACACAAGCCGATGGATATCGTCTTACAGAGGCATTGCCCCGGAAATTGTTGGGCTGCTTGAAGCTGACTGTGACCAGCTCAAAAAACTGTATGACTCCAAGATGTTACACATCTCTTCTTATTTAAATGTTTAAACTATCCTTGTACCCCTATAATAATAAATAAAACTACTGTATTGTTTATTTAATGCTCAATTGTCATACGTTATAATATAATCAGTTAAAACCTTAATTTCTCTAAATATCTTTTTACAGTAAGAACCTGCTTTTAAGTATTTTTTATCCAATATTCACTCTTTATGAAACAGTTGCATTTGACTCAAAATGAAGTCTTTGCAAAATACTAAAAATTGGATACTTCGCAAAGAACTCAATTTTGTCTGGTTGCAGTTAGGTGTCAAAATGAGTACAAAAGACACAATTTTGAGTTATTTCGTTTCTCCGTGTATGCGTGACCGCTTATAGATCAGTGCACGGTCCCTAACCTCACTTTTTGCTCCCTATCATTTTGCTTCTGAGTAAAAGAGATAGCAACGAATGGGAGCCAAAACAAACCACCCAAAACTGTCAAAACTTACGGGTGAGAGAAGAGTGCGGCAAATCTTCGTGAACTGATCAATACATTTCATTTGACACATTCATTAACTTTTTGCAAGGCGTCTGCTTAGGCTCTGAACCATTTGGTGGATTATTTTAACTTTTGGTTAAAATTTGACAGATGAAAAGTTATCGATTAACCCTGCTATCCGAGCATGGTTATTT